CTAATATTAGAGAGGAAAATGCCATATACATAAATGTTTCAATATTGAAAAGGACAATTCGAAAAACTAAAAACGAAAACTATTTTCTGTTTTCTGTTTTCATTCACGAGGGCGATTAGAAATATTTATATTTTTGGATTACTAGTTCAACCCTAATTATACTTTTTTTCCAGTTTTTATTCACTGATTGGATAATTGAAACATAGTCGTCTTCATTTGAAAAAATAGTTAGAAAAATCGAAGCATTTATTTTCTGCATGGGGCGGTTTATTTAAAACATAAAATATTAAATCATGTTCCCATTCCAAAAGAAATAAATGCTTTCTAATTTGGTTAAACATTTTTTGAAGGGGGTGGGGGCAAGTACATAACCACATATTTTTTAGCTAAGTGAAATTATGAATTTCACTATTTTTACTATACTATTTATTGCTTAAAGGTTAACGGCTTCAGGTATTATTTTCTTTTCTTCCTTTTCTTTAGAAATTGAAACGAACCTTTACTCTTTCTGAAGTGTTTGATGTTTTTATTGCTTTTTTGGAGATTTCAAAACATTTCAACAATGTTCTCTCCATTTTTACCCGGAAAAAGCAATATCGCGAAAAAGAAGATGGACGTTCAGGCAAAAGTAATTTGATACTTTGGCCAAATAAGGAATTCTGGAAAATCTTACAACTCTGGAAAAAAAATCTCTTTTTCTCAATTCATCTTTTTTTCGAAACATTTATAGTAGAAAATAAAATTTACAGCTTAACGTAATGCCCTAAAATGATTTTAAATAAAAAAAATATGAAGACGAAATTATTTAAATTAAAAGTAGCTCATTAATAAAAATATTTAAAATAAAAGTAATAAATACATATCTCGTTTGGTTAGATATGCTTTTTAGGATCTTTAATTAAATATAATAATTTTAAAATTCCTTGTTAATATTTATCTTTATCTAGGTTGTAAAACTATTAAAATCACTTTAATTTTACTAACGGAAGTATTAGTATCTATAAACAAAGTATTTGTTGGAAAATAAATGTTTTTTTTTTTTAATTTTACCTCATGTTTTCTTCTTTTACCTTTCCAAAGAAGAATTTTTTTATTTATATTGTTAAAAATTAATATTAACAAACGTATTGGTTCGATAAATGAATTTCACGCGTTAGAGTAAATTTAAAAATAAAAATATCGTACACTGTTAGAATGTTCATTCTAAAATTATGGTAAAATAACTGGCATCAGCCTGTGCTTCCAATTAATTAAGAAACACTTTTTACCTTTACAGTTGTGAAACCACAAACTGATGTTTCACTGGACATTGGAAATAGATTAACAGTTTTATAGTTCTACCATCTAAGCGAAAATGATACTATCGTTTTCTAACCGCCTAGGGTCACACATTGGGGTGTGCAGGACACTGGAAGGTCTTCATGTGTTGAAGGGAATAGAGAACATATAGGGGTGCTAGCGCTGAGACTCGAATCCACGTTCTGTCAGTCATGAGAGGTCACAGATTATCTATCTCGGCAATAATATGTGCCTATTATCAGGGAACTAAATGGCTTCATTGCCGACCGGGAACTGTCCTTGCATCAGAAAGGTCCTGGGTTCGAATCCCGGGCAAGGCATGGAAGTTTCTTTCTCTCTCTCTCTGTGTTCTATGCCTCTTCTCCTTTGTGTGCGAATGTGTGTGAATGTGACCCGCCCTATAAACGGGTTGTGGTTGTGTGAATGGCGTGACAGAAGTCAAATTCCTGGCCATAGATGGCGCCACTGAAAAAAAGGAACAATCGCACCCCTATTGCCTAAACAGGCATACGACAAAAACATGGCTTCATTAGGTAGGTCTAGTTAATGCGATAAAATTCTTGTTGTTTAACCCTATATGAAACCAGTTAATAAACGATTTTTCTCACAGTTATCAGTTTGAATAACATTTTATTTATGGTTATTTGACTGCTTTGTTTGAATGTGGTAAAATAACAATCAATTTAAATATTATTTAACTGCTTTTTCAGAGAAATTTCGAAGAGTTTAATAAAACCACTTAAAAAATTACTTCGTATAATAAAATGATATTTGTCTTTATTTATGGCATTTTTTTTAACAATAGATGTTGAAGGGATATTTTTTTCTTAATTTTATTTAAATTAATATATGAATCATGAACACACTTGTAATTACGTGTTTAGAATAGCATATATTTGTTGCATATCAGACATAAAATATGATAATAAGACATAAAATTGATAAAACGAGTTGATATTTGGATTGTTTTGACGTTTTTTTCCACTTTAAATCTTGTTACTTTTTTTTAAAATTTTAGTTGAAATAATAATTTATTTGAGGCATGCATTCAATAGGATTCCTATGAGTTACGAACAGGAGAGCGAATTTCTAAATTGCATCATATGAAAACTGTAATTTCTCCGAATTATTTGCAGATAATTTTGGATGGAAACTTATTTTATTTATTATACAATTCTGAAGCACTTTTGAAATTTGAAAATAAACACCTTTTTTGTAATCTCTTCTTAATTTTTAAAAGGAATTTACATTTAAAACAAATAAATTTTTTTTAATAAATAAGTAGTAAGAAAGATATGTAGTGCAAGAAATTAAAGTTTTAAATTGCAGTATTAATTTACAAGTAAAAAGTTTAAGTAATTTAAAGTATACAAATGAGAAGAAAATCTCAATCTCTTTCAATAAATTTGCAAAGAATAAAGCAGTAGGTTTTTTTTAAAAACTTAGAAATCTTAGAATTTTTAAATTGTAGATCAAAGAAAAACAAAATGTTATATTTTTAAGTTCTAATTCCGAGAAACAATGTTAATTTAATCTTACATGAAGATGTCATACTGGATTCTTTTATCCTATTAAATTAATTAATTATTCATAATACACCCACATTCGTGGTTGGAGATAATGTCTAGTTACTCTTGCTGATTAGGTTATTTGCATAACACATTATCATTCCATTTTTATGCTAATTAAAACATTTAATAAAGTTATATATATAGTTTTCTTATACCTAGGTATCTAAATCTGATTAAAACTAAAAGAATTTTATTTTTATAATAAAACAATTCCAAAAGCTAGCTTACAATTTTATGTGTGACAATCTGTAACTGCTACAAAAAAGAGATGATATTTTGATTAATCGTAGGGCTTAATTTAATTGAATTGTTATTCAAAACAAAAGTTTTAGAAGTAAGAAGAGGGACACAATTGCATTTCATGCTGTATTATTATTTTCTATGCAACAAATAATAAGGGTTCATCAAATTCGTATAAATTTGTGGATAATGTGAAGAAATTATAAAATACTGTTAAAAACAATGTGACCAAAGTATATATTATGGTATTAATTTAATGTTATGGTATTAAGTGTATTAATATTACGGTATTAAGTGTATTAATATTACGGTATTAAGTTATGGAATGGTATTAATTTTATGGTAATATTATGGCATTTATTTTACATTTTCAATAGAGTTTCTTTAATTATCTGTCGGAAATGCTAGACTAAAAAAGTAATTTTGTATAAATTGCATTAATTATGTTTATCACAAAACTTTTCATGGTGATTGACAGAATCTAAATTTTTTTCTTAAAGGGTAGTGTGTTACATATTGACTTTCATATTAATCTTAGATTTTTATTAGCGATGGATAACTAAACAAATTACCTGCCAAGTTTAAGTAATGCTTGCTTATAGAAATTTTGATGCTTTATCTCAATTTCTCGAAGAAACCCTTCTATATTAAACTAAATTGACACATTTAAATCATAATACCGTGAAACCTTGTAGCAAACTAAATAAGTTCTTAAACTATCTAAGTTTCCATTAACATTAAAATTATAAACACTGGTTAAGCTATATGTGTTTTCGTGTGAATTTAAATAATTAACACTGGTTAAACTATCCGTCCGTTTAAATTAAAATTATAAACACTAGTTAAATTATATATGTTTTCGTTTAAATTGAAATAGTAAACACTGGTTAATCTATCTGTATTTCCATTTAAAATAAAATTATAAACACTAGTTAAAGTATCTGTGTTTCTGGTGAAGCTAAAATTGTGATCACTGGTTGAACTATTTATATTTCTGTTTAAAATAAATTAATAAACACTGATTAAGCTATCTGTGTTTCCGTTTGCAAACAATTGTATGTCTAATTTTAATGATGATTAGGTTACAAAATAATATTGTTTAATTTAGCACTCCAGTTCAAGTTGAAGCAAATTTGAACAGTATCGCGATTCGTAAAAGGAATTTCTTGTTACAGTTAGTTTCACTTTAGTTCGTTAACTATAAATGACTTTTATTTCTTTTCATTCTAAATATAAGGTTTGAAACTAAACAATGAAGAACCACAAAGGAATAAGTCAGTGAGTGCGAAGAATTTGATTTCTGAATCCATATTTTACACAAATGAAATTTAAATCCGGTGACTGAGTGGTAGCGCTTCGAGTTGTCGTGCCGCAGGTCCCTGGTTCGATCCTCGAGCCGGGCAAGGTTGACTCAGCCTTTCATTCCTTCAGTGTGTCGATAATTGAGTACCAAGCATGCTGGGGAACTAAGCACTGGGGGTTCAGCGTTCGGCTGACCACCTGACCGGAACATCTGCTCCTGCACCCCTGAGCCCAAGGTCAAGAAAACTGAGATAGGCACAGTAGGCCTTGGCCCTCTATGAGCTGTCGCGCCACTGAGTTCAGTTTAGTTTTATAATTTTAAATATACATATCTATAAACCAACATTCAAAAATCAAAATAAAATAACCTCATTTAAACTAAACGAATTTTGTACTTCATATATTAAACTTTATCTATATGAACTCCTTTTGTACATTAAATATTAATTCCTTACGATTTAATGATTTTTTTAAACGAGCATATAATAAATTATATGCCCGTTTATTATGCCCGTTATCTATTTAAACTATCTGTGGCTATAATACAGAGGAAAGTTGATAATTTCAAATGTGTCTTGCTCATTTTAGTTAGACCAGTGTCAGTCAAACTGGATGTCGGTCCAAGATCCATGTCTGCAGGAAAATCCGTTGATTTACTCTGCAAAAGTGCTGGTTCCAAACCACCCGCAATTATATCTTGGTGGATGGGAGCAACTCGACTGAAACACAACAAAGATACAGTTTCGACTGATGGCAACTTCACAACAAGTGTCCTCAATTTTAGACCATCCATTGAAGATAATGGGAAACAGCTGACGTGTAGAGCAGAAAACCCTCTCATTGCAGGTTCAGCTCTTGATGATACTTGGGATCTAGAAATACACTGTAAGCACATTTTTAATTCTATATTCCATTTAATAATAACATTACTTCATTCAGGCATGTGATGCAGTAAATGATAATTCTTTTTTGACGTTTTCAGGGATAATTGGTGTCTTTTAAATATACACACATGCATTTTAAAGAAATTAAATTCATACAGATGAACAAACATTAATTAGGTAATTTATAAAATGTGCTAAAACTGCACGAATCAACAAAAATATATTTTAAGCAGTTTAGTGTCTTAGTAGAGATTTAGCAGATACAATTGTGTCTTACAAGGGATGGTTGAAGTTTTTATAAATAGTTTCATTAACTGCTTTTGTTTATTCATTTCAGGCTTTTTTTTTTTTGCTTGAACCACATTCTTTACGTTTGATTGCAGATTTATATCAAACAAAGAAAAACCATTAGAATAATTAAATTTAAGAATCAAAAGTTTATGATAATTATAAAAGAAGAAAAAGTTTAATTTTACAAACCTATTCGAATTTACAAAGAGGGTAATTTGAGGAAAAAAACTTTAAAACGCATTTTGTGAACCAATTGATAAGGGTATTGAAATTAATAACCAAATGCAAATATTTAATAACCACTTCCTACTCTACTATCATTATTTTTATTATGTTTGTACAATGAAAATTTATTTTGATCCAACTGAAATATATTACATGCATATTACATTTTATTCATCGAAATTAAAAACGTAAGGAGTAGGATTAGGAAAAAAAATTAATCTTTTTAATTTCAAGAATATAATGAGAAATATCCGGTAGTGTTTGACTAACTCATTAAAAATTAATGTTAATACAAAATCAATCCCAAATAGCCCTCTTAAAGCTTTTTTACGTTATTTCTGCTGATGACTTGCTTATTTTGACCTCATTTCAATTTTCAGACAAACCTCAATTAGCGTTAAGATTAGGCAGCAAACTGAGACATTTTCGAATCCAGGAAGGTAATGATGTTTACATGGAATGTGACATTCGGGCGAATCCTTGGGTTTCTGAAATTGGCTGGTCTTTTGAAGGCAGAGAACTACACACCAATGTGTCTGCAGGAATAATAATCAGTAATCAATCTTTAGTACTTCAAAGGGTGCAAAGAATAAACAGAGGACATTACACATGCTCAGCTTCAAACTCAGAAGGAATGGGAGAAAGCAAAGCTCTCTATTTATCAATACAATGTAAGTTACTTTTATTTTAAAATCTTGATTAATAGAACTAAGACTGAATTTAGTTTTAATATCCTAACAATCGTAAAGAGGTGTAAAAGCTTTGACTCATATTTTGTTTTTTTGATTTGAAACCAAAAATTGGTGATTAAATAATAAAAGGATTTTAAATATGATTTCTCATGACGATTTTAAAGCTGTTATTCAGAAACACTCTGCTTAAATGTGTGGAAATTCAACACATTGTCTGTAAATTTGCCCATCACCCTCCATGTTATTACAATTTTTAAGGTTTTGGGAAAATTTTGAACATGATTTCAATTGTTTCGATTTCTTTTCTAAGAAAAAAACAAATTCTGCCTGTGTGACCCAATTTCAGATAGAATAAAAATAGCTATGATTCCAACACCCACCTTTATAGTTGTTAAACATATATTTAAATGTGTAAATCTATATAGTTATTTATCATTGATTCAGTTCTCATTTTAATGGTATGATTATACTCATATAATTGCGTCGTTATTTTTATTTCTTCCAGGTTTTAATTTCTCAAAATTTGACTTTTTCTTTACCATATTTCTTTTAAATTTTATTTAATTCTTTTATGCATTTAAAAATATCAGAAGAAAACCATAGAGTTTCAAAGCATGAATTTGAAAGAAAATAACTGCATATTTAAAACAATGTTTAGTTAAACGGAGAATAAATTTTTTTCTTTAGTAGTAATTTTTTTATTTTTTATTTTCATTAAATTATGCAAAACATATTTTTTTTTGTTTTTAAATAGAATCAGTTTATAAAACTTTAGTTCTGCTAAGCATAACTACAATATTTAAAAAAAGTAAATGTGTGAAAGTAGAAAAGTGAACCCCTTTTGCACAAGCATATTTTTTTTTCTAATTTGCTTAATTTTTAGAAAATGTAATTTTGTGTGCAATAAAATCTTCTGCATTTATTTCACATATTTTATAGAGAAAAAAAACCGTATCTGGAAGAAAATACTTTTTTTCCCTAGACTCTCCAGTTTGTGTACCTGGTCAAAAGATACTCTATGGTGCCACGAGGCATGAAGAAGTCAAAGTGGTCTGTGAAGTGGATGCTGACCCGACTGACGTCACGTTTCACTGGAGTTTCAACAAGTCCGGAGAAAATATGGAAGAGGTACCCTTTGTTAGTGAAGGAACTCGGAGCACTGCTACTGTTAATACAAAGAGTGACTACGACTATGGAACACTTACTTGCTCAAGCAGCAATAGCGTCGGTATACAGAGGGAACCTTGTGTTTATACTGTCATTACAGCAGGCAAGTAACCAAAAAAGTTGGGAGGAATTGAAAAATTTTGTTTGTTATCTATAGCACGCATCATAAAATACATAAAATTCTGTAATAAATGTTGCGAACAAGACGTTGTTGACAACATACAAAATGTTTCTCAACAAAATGATTTCTATAAATATATATATGCATTAAAATTTAAAACAAGATAACATATATTTATGAAGTGTTAATTTTTAAAACTTAGAGATTAAATATTAGGAAACCGTTAGATATAAAAATGATACGACTTTTGAGAAACGAAAAGCTTATAACTATATTACCCCAGGCCCTTCATTTACTAGAAGTTCAGACATTTCATATTACACCTTATTTTATTTTTATTAACCACAGAAATGTCAAACCAACTACATGACAAATAAATCGCCCGAGGTACTACTCCTTTGCTTACGTCTATATTTTGACATATCTTTTGCTATAATTAACATAATAACATCTTATATGAAATGCTGATCTTATTATTGAGAAAACAAAGATTATTTATATCAAAGAAACATTAATCCCCTCATTATTTGTGTGCCAGAAGACTCTGATTTCATAAAGCTGCTTAGCCTAGTCAAATCCCTCATAAAGTTAATTTAAACTTAATAAATATTGGTGTGTTATTTTGTCTTTTTTCCTTCGTGGTCTAGAAAAAATAAAATTTCACTATTAATGGAATAAAAACTACAATACAGTAAGTGTTCAAAAGCAGTAAAATATATAAAGGATATATAAAATGCTAATAAAATGAATTTATGCAAGTTTTTTGAAGATAACATATTATTTTTTTATTGAGTGTTATGCTTATGTTAAGTTATATTATGTTTATAAGTTTTCTAGCTATATTAACTTTACTGGAATTTGATCTAGAATTTGTTACAGTCTATAAGCATTCCAAAGCGTATTTCAAATTCAATTAAGTATTTCAGAAACGAATTTAGCCTTTTTTTATTAATCAAGATTACAATATCGCTGAGTAATCTAAATAGTCGACATTTAAATTAAATAAAAATCAACATCTAATATGAAATGTTGATCTTATTATAGAGAAAACAAAGATTATTTATATCAAAGAAGGATTAATCCCCTCATTATTTTTGTTCGAGATGTCTCTGATTGCATGAAGCTCTTTTATTTATTGTTTAGCTTAGTTAAATCCCTCATAACGTTAATTTAAACTTAATAAATATTGGTGTGATATTTTTTTCTTCTTTCCTGCGTGTTCCAGAAAAAAAAAATTCACTATTAATGGAATAAAAACTACAATACAATAACTTGTTAAAAACAGAAAAATATATAAAATATATATAAAATGCTACTAAAATGAATTTATGCAAGTTTTTTGAAGATAACATATTTTTTTATTGAGTGATGTTAAGTTATATTATGTTTATAAGTTTTCAAGCTATATTAGTTTTACTGGAATTTGATCTGGAATTGTTTACAGTGTATACGTATTTCAAAACGTATTTCAAATTCAATTAAGTATTTAAAAAAATGATTTTAGCTTTTTTTTATATTTCAAGATTACAATATTCGCTGAGTAATCTAAATTATCGACATTTAAATAAAATAAAAATCATGTATTCAATCTTACACTTGTTCAATATTTTTTATCAGGTCCACCCGATCCGGTTCAGAATTGTACCGTAATGAACATTACCCAGCATTCATTTCGCGTTGAGTGCGTCGAAGGATTAAATGGAGGATTACGTCAATATTTCGTCATGGAGGTTCATGATACAGCTTTACATAGATTAAGAGGCAACCATACGGCGGATATTCCTTTCTTTTTGGCGAGAGATCTACCATCAGCTACTAGCTTTGTGGTCGTTGTGTACGCTGTAAATACAAAAGGAAGAAGCCAAGCCGTAGTACTACGAGTAAATACACTTCATTCTAAACAAGCTGATCAAAGAAAAGGTATGCATTACTAGTTTAAATATTCTCGTTTTATGAGTTGAATGAACCCAAGAAAAGTGAAGTAAAAAATATATTTGAAAATTAAAACTTTGTTTTTTACATAGTAGAAAGGTTGACATGTATTTAGCAAGCAAAACTTGATGCTCTTTGTGGCGACGACCGCGTGTGCAATGAAAACTTCCAAATGAATTGGGAAACATTTATTAACGTGTTAAATTTTATTAATATTTCCAAGTTATTGCTGAATTATTATCATTCATGTATCATCCTGAAGGGTAACGTTGTGTTTTGAAGGTCTGAAACAAGTCAAAAGGTTTAAAATTCTACACTGTCAAAATTCTCATTCTAAAATTACAGTGAAATGACCATCAGCAGTCTGTCCGTCCAATTTTCAGTAAAGTTTACTGTAAATAACATTTTCTAACTTTAAGGTTTTGAAATCATTTATAAATAATATGGCTAAAAAACCGTGAATACATAAGTATACCGTTGCTTAACCATTTAAAACTAGCAGGCATTGGAGTTGAGATTTATGAATGTGGGTGAGTTGAGGTTTGTCAACTGAACCGAGGAATTCGGTTTAATAAGTTTATTGGGTTATTTCATCTATCGTAGGAGATGGGAAATACAGAACTTGTTTGTGTTAAGCGAGTTTATTGTGCTGCCATCTCGTTATTTCTCGTTGTCTTGCCATCTCGTAAATTTATTAACCCTCTCGGCTATAATATGGTCCCATCTGTAAGGAACTAAGAGACTTAATTAGGTAGGTCTTGTTAGCGCGATGAATTTCTGGTTTTTTAACTCTATTAGCTGAAAACAGTTAATAAACGGAATACCTTCTTATTGTTATTTATGGTTATTTGACGGTTGTGTTTGAATATGGTAAAATAAGCATGAAATAAATTGTTATTTAACAATTTTCAATCGAACATTCTATGAGTGTACTATGATGTAAAACATTTTTTTTCCTTATTTCGAGTATGTGATTGGTTAAAATATAACATTTTGCGAAATGTTACAGTTGTTAGCTCTCTAAATAGTTCCCTATCGAGTGAAAAGTTCTCTAAATTTTCAGAACTTTAAATTTTTTCATGGTTTTATTATATTTAAGTAAGTTACACCTCATCTAATCAATCTAATGAAACGAAAGTACATAGCCACAAATAAACTCCCTGCCATATAAAATTAAATATAATTAATTATTTCACAATCCTAAATGAACTTAATCTATTTATTAACCTTTTAAAACTGGAATCAATTCCAAACCGATTGTATTATTTTTCTTTTTTCGATTTAGCAAAAATGTTCACGAAATAAAATACTTAATATTCTCCTTATTTCTGTCTTAGATCCAACTGTCTGATATTCCAAAAATTATTCGTGATTTAAAATTAATTATAAAACAGAAGTGGATATAAAATATTACACTTTTCTGAGAAAACCAGAATTTTAATCAAATAAAATTTAAGATTAATCACAAAGTTCATATGCAAATCACGCCATTAACTATGGCGCAGAAAACTATAAAATAATACCTTTTTTTCTGTACCACAAACTAATCATTAGAAACTATTTGCATGGATGTCTGCTAATTTTGTCACCTGTCTGCACAGTAAAAGTAATTATTTTGAAAAAAAATTGTATTTAGTCAACTTTTCTCTCTTAACAAAGCACTTTTTTGACTACATAATCTGTATGTTTAATTATTTTAAAACTTGATGTTAAAAACCTAGTTTTATGAGCAGAACACCTACAAGCATTTCATATCTTTTTCTTTCTATTTTAATTGAGTTTTTAATAAAGCTGCATACTATTAAAATATACAATAATTGCGCATTTCATAATAAATACATACGATTTTAATCATTGCTTAAATATAACATTAACGTTATTTAAAGATTTTGAACATATTGTATTCAATCGATACTGGGGTAGAAGAAGAGATAAAAAAGGAACAGATTAAATTATTGCTATCAGTACGCTGAAATGGGGTATTGTTTCTGTTGAATTTCTTATACGCTGAATTGAATTAATCTTATTTGTATAAAGCAGACGTTAATAAGCTAAGTATGAAACTGTATGTTTTGTAAGTGAAGCTTTTATAATACTTGAAATACTGATCTTATCAACCCTGTTTTGAACTCATTCAATTAAATAAATACATCAAGAATCATTACTTTACTTACCTAGATAGCAATACCTGATGGGTAAATACCAGAATAAATGGTAGTAGCAGGATAAATGATGGGTAGGGTAAATACGTACCATAAATTCTATCAACCCTATTCCCGTGAAATTGATTATAACTGATTTAATCTAAAATAGTATTAAGAGGACTGAGTCAATTGTCTTGATAGCAATGTTTAAGTGTATTATCCTTTTTACCTCCTCTTCTTCTCCCAGGGAATAAAAAGTGTACCTATATTTATCTTAAAATCATATACATATTATGTAGGGGAGAGTGGGGACAATTGTAACATTTTTTACTAAACTATTTTTAACTAAAAAGTCCAATATATTGTTAATATTAATTGACAGACGAGTAAAGTAGACTATCCTCAACTAGAAAAAAAATAAATACTTTACTTTAAATGTTATTATATTAGTTAGGAACAATTTTTGACAGTCATGCACTTGTTACAATTGTCCCCACTTACGGGGTCAATTGTAACAGTTCATAAATTCAACTAAAACATAGTTAATTACACATATTATCATAGTTGTGATATATTTTTTATAGATCAAAATAGTAGTGATATTTTAGGAGTAAAAATAATAATGAGCAGAGACCTAAAGGGTTAAACTTTTAGCTTTAAGGGGTTAAAAATCTTAATTTATGCAGTGAAAGGGGACAAATAAAATAATGCAACACAATATAAATGATATAGGAAACTATTGGTGGTACTTAAAGAGTTAAGTAATGGTTTGTAAACGCAAGATTATTTATTTTCAGCTGTTACAATCGTCCCTTTACTTATTGTTACACTCGTTCCCAAGACGCCATTTCAGCTTAGCTTCATTTGTTAAAATCAATGCTAGTTAATTAACAAAACTAATTTTTTTTATTGAAATGTTAATTAAGGTGTCCACTTACATATTCGGTTAATAATTTTTATTTGCTTAAACGAAATTACTTTGTTTTAATATAATATTCTAATACCAACAAAAGTACTTACGTAGTGTGAAAATATCTTTTGTGATGTAACTCTTTCAAAAGTACATAAAAATGGTTGCCAGCAGGGGTGCACATGTATATCTATTAAATACACCTTGTGCGCTACCTAGGAACCAAATCTAGAGCCCGACACTCGAAATTTTTGCTCTGTTACAATCGTACCCTGTTACAATTGACCCCACTCTCCCCTACTTACTAGATAAAATGCAATGGTTTTTATCACAGAATACTCATTTTTTCGGTGAAGCTGCTTTTCCTTCTTTTTTTGTTGAAATCATTAATTTTAAGACACATGGCATATGCTACTTAAACATCTAAAAGTCACATGCTCGATTTTGTGTGTATGTTTAAAAAAAACACATAATTTTACCTATCACTCGATATTCTTTACTGCGATATATATCCTCTTTTTGGAACATTGTCATTGTCAATTACGGTATTAGAAAAACCAAATCAATACAAAATGAAAGAAACTGTATTGATTTGAATCTCTGTCTGACGGGAAATCATTCCATGAAACAACTTCATTGTATTCAAATGAATGGACGTCTATTGCATTTTTGTAGACTTATGAAATAACTAAGTTTTTTTTCTAAGCGTAAGTAACAATTAGTGCTAGGCTACTAATTAAAAGTGTAAATAAGAATGATGAATCTGATATAAAAATGATAAATCAATATCTTGGACATAATATTTGGTTTATAATACACTGAGTTGAAACTATTGCAGACAAAAAAATATATCCAGATTCATACAACTTACTAAATTAACATTTTATTAATAATTTTCATAATTTTAACCAGTAAAATTGAAGAGTCTATACAATTTATATCCTATTTCAAATCTGGTTGATTCATTAATAATTCAATGTAAATAATGGAATAAAGCAGTCAATATTACAATGAGTAAATTAAAGGCATGGATTAAATGCATCTTAGCTGCCCATGCTGTCTATTGCAAATAATACGCAACTATAATTATAGGAATTCTAAAAAAAAGTTTCTCCTATCAATAACACTATTTGGATTATTACATACTAACAAAAATAATTTAGATGAACAACTAATAAACATTGATGAATTTCCTAGACAAACATTTTTCAAACTTTTAGAAATAATTAAATTCAATAATTATTGCATTTCTAAGTTTTTCCACGATATGTTTCTAGTACCAAAGAATGAATCACAGAAAACAGCCATTTTCAAGTAATTTAAATTATGTCTATTTTGCATTATGTTAAAAATGCAGAGAACCAAAAAAAATAGATAAATACTTCGTCACTTCAAGTATTCAAATCTTGAAACATTTTTATATTGTTATCCAATGGCATTTATTAGAAAAAAAATAACGGAGCAAAAGAAAACTGATTTTCAAGATTTTTTGAAATAGAAAATTTAATACATTTTTACTAGTGCAATTCAATTTCCTCATCCAAACTTGATGAAAAGGAAAATAAATAAATAAATATTCAAACTTCTTTATGACAACTTGAAAGTTTTGTCGCATTCCAATATTTTTCTTACAAACAAGAGTGCCAGAGAGTTCTTTAAAAATAAAATAAAGAGATAAAAGTGGTAAAATCTATAATTTTAAATGAATTTAAGAAAATAAGATCAATGTTTTTATAAGAAAAAAAACACTCTTTCAAACGTAGAAAAATTCGGAGCAATAGTTTTGTAACTTTCCAGAAGTGAATATCGGGAATGAATATTGGATTTCCGTTAACCTTCAAGGCATGGATGTGAATATTTTTAGAATATTTTATATTTATTTCTATTCAGTGGTGTATTTTTTTGAAGAAAATAAATAATCCACGCAGAAGGGAAGTTTAACGAAAGAATGAAGTGAAAGCAGAAAGAGATTTTGCGCTTTTGAGAAACGGAAAAAAAATTAGTTCTTTCGGATTTATGACATAATTTAAATGACCATAATTATAGTCCAAATTGTTCGGACAATTTAATTAAGATAAAATAGTTTTCAAAAGTCAAAATAGACACATTTGGAGCTATTATGAAATGCATTTTTTATCATTTAGTATTGTTTTTAGCTATTTAAATTTTTGTCCAAAAATAATATTTACGATTATAGACAAAGCAATCTATACAAATATTTACAATTGTTTTTAGTCATTTAAATTTTAGTTCAAAAATAATATTTACGATTATAGACAATGTAATCTATACAAATATTTACTATTGTTTTCAGCTATTTAAATTTTAGTCCAAAAATAATGTTTGCGATTATAGACAATGCAATCTATAAAAATATTTACTATTGTTTTTAGCTATTTAAATTTTAGTCCAAAAATAATATTTACGATTTTAGACAATGCAATCTATAAAAATAAGTTTATAATTAAAAAATCAATAAACTATGAAGCAGTTTCAGTTGTTTGTATACTTTTGCCGTCATTACCGCAGATGAGTAAACAAAAATTTGCGAAGTCGGAAAATGTTGTGTGTTATCTATAAATGGGGAAAAAGGAAGCTCAAAACTACCAGAATAAAGTAAAATTCTGGCTCTATTGAAATCAAATCATCAAAAAGCTCGGTAATTTTTACCGAAGCGCTTAAATAACGCTTTTGTTAAATTTAACAGTAAAGTAACATTTTATGATATGTGTTAAAATTTGGTTAATGTGATAAAATATGGCATTTTTTCATGATGATACCTCAGAATATGGCATAAAAACCGTTTATTTCGTAAAATTTACTTATTAGTTTTGTATTGTTTACTAAATGTATGGAAATAAGAGCTATACTTTTGAAAACTTGAATTTCTAGTAAACTGTATAAGTATGCACGTATTACATACTTATACAGTTACGATTTGTATAAGTATGTTCGCATTAAAATTTAATACTAGATAACATATATTTATAAAGTGTTAACGGCCGCAACTGCTGTATGAAAATGCTTAACTATGTATAAAGTGTATAGTTTCGTAATAAGTTTTATAAGTTTTAAAGTATAAGTGATAAAAGTATGGTTTATAATAAATGATAAAATTTGGCAATTTTAGCATGATACCTTAGAGCATGACATAAAAAGCATATATTAGGTTAAATTTGCTATTCACTTTGGTATTTTTCATTAAATATGTGCTTATAAGAACTATAATTTTGAATAATAGAATATTAACTATGTGAATGGAAAAATTACCAAATGAATAGTTAAAATATCACTTATTTTCTTTTTATTAACCACATATGTGGATTTTTTACCTGAAATGACATTACCATATAGGGTAATGATTTTCAAAGAAATTGTTTTCCACTTTAACTTTCACTAAGCAAAATTTATTTATTTTTCTTTACAACCATTGATAAGCATATACCTAAAAGACCCTTAAATTGCTAATGAATTTTAAAATAAATTTACTGAAATCAGAAGGAATTAGAAACGTGTTGTTTATTTTATTCTTCTTAAGAAAGAACACAATTTGCTGACATATAGTACCACGTTGTTGTTTCTTATACCGATTAAGTTTAAACTTTCGCATTAAAGTGCCATCTGGCCATTATCTTCATAACTACTTTTGAAAATAAGTAAAATGTGTATATGTAAAAGCAATACATCTATAGTTACATATATTTCCATAAATTTAAAATTTTTGATTTGAACTCTTTTAGTATTTAAATTAAAAATATTTAAAATAAAATATATTATGATTTGATGCATATATAGGGAGCAGATTTCAGTTCACATCTCAGGTTATGATTGTAATACTCGCTGCTGTCATTTTGGTTGTACTTTTGTCTGGAATAACAGTAATTCTCATCAGAAAGTTAAGAAGGCGCATGTTGGAGCAGAAAAGTAAGTGTTTTGCATTTTACTTAGCAATTATTTTGTGAATTTAGATGAAAAGTAATATCACTATATGCAGGGTGCTCCTTAAATAGCGCTCTCGATATATATACAGGGTTATTCATAATTCCCTCCAGCCGTAAACGCCATTTTTTTTACTACAACTGGCTTCAGTGGTACATGTTACTGCCATCTACCGGCAACTGCTTAAATTAAAACTTGAATACTTTCAGAATAATTTGATATGTTCTCTTTTGCATTATTCGTTTTCGTTTTTTTACTATAACACTTCGAAACCCCGGAGGGAATTATGAATAAACCTGTATNTAGGAATTCTTCATAATTATAAAGAATATATATTATTATTTTTTTTTTTTACTCTAATTTCTTATCGAGATTTTAAAAATATACATTAAATTCTGTTATTAAAAGGCAGAAAAAACAAATTACTTATTTGGAAGGAAAGTTTTTAAAAAAGTCAGTTATTAGTATAAAATATGCTTTGATTGTTAATTAAGTTAAAATACATAAGTTCATTCGGCAAATAAATCAAAAATCTTCAAGAATTCGAAGGAAGTATAACAAAAAAAATTTCTACTTATTTTATACGCTTTATTTTATGAGCTGCATTTTAATTTTCTTCTAATCATTTGAACTTTATTTTATCTTTCAGGAAATGTCAAAAGAAATTCTAAAACGTAAGTGATAACTATGATTTTTTATTAGAACTTAACATTTCGCTTACCATAATATTAAGTCCTTTTAACTTTTATCTCTTCGTGTTCTTTTATTTTTTACCTGTAAATCCAAGCATTTCACATAAATCTAAAATCATTTTAAACTCGAATTACGCTAGATTTAACTATTGCGTACGATAAATAATATTTATCGTACATCATATTTGGATGTATCCGTATTGCTTCGTAATATTTATATTCACTAATTGTGCAACTTCAGACAATTCAAATAATTTAACTGAAAATTCTCAGACAATTCAATAGACAATTCAAAAAATTATTAACAATTTTAAAAATTTCAAAAAAAAAATTTACTTTTAAAAAATAGCGCTGATTATCACTGTATCTTTGTAACATACGTATATCTTTGCTAGACATATATATGAAACCGTATTTGTAAGCATATATTTTTGCTAGATATAGAAAACTTGTTATCGGTGCCACACATTAAACTAAAAAAAAACCTTAAATTCCTTCAACTTTTTATTTTAAAATAGTTTCGTTAAAGCATTAGAAACATGATTAAATATTTTCTTATGATTTTTCGTTAGGGAAAAGCTTAATCTCGATTCTAGCTACGATGGCTCAGCAGTTAATCGTATGAAAAATGCTCTGCTATTTAAAAGATAAACTATATTGAGACTTAGAGTTACATTGTTTATTGATTGAGACATAATTTCAGTTATTTAACTTTATTCCGTACAATTTTCCAAGTAATTCTTTTTTTTTCATTTGAAACTACGATCCATAAAGTATTTTGGAGAAAAAATATTTAAGAGGAAAAATATTTTGTTAAGTCTCAAACTAAAATTTTTAGAACTCGATGTGTCAATTTGTTTTTCAAAATAACGAACGTTTTATCTATGTTAGAATAAAGTAAATATATTAGAACAAAAGTAATAAATTAAAATAGTGCGTGAGGTTGGAATAAAAATAATATATATAGTAAAAAAAAATGTATATTAAAAAGTAATGTATATTAAAGAACGGAACAACTGTTTTTTGAATTATTCCGATTATTTATATCATCTAAAGCTTAACCCTGAAATTGATTTCTAAATGAAACTAAAAAATTAATTGCTCAATTATTAGTTAAAATCAGGAGCCATTGAGGATATGACATAATATGTCACAAACTTTTTAAATAAATTTTATTTAAAAAGTTTGGATTTAAAGAGCGATTTTGGATTTTATTTAATGTTTATTTTTTAATATTGCATTCCGCATGGAGATAAAGGTGCTTAAGGAATGTAACAATATATTTTATAACGCGTTCGACTGTATCATATTCCATATTATTTCGTAACAAAGCTAATTTGACAAGAAAATGGCATTAAATGGATTGGTTAGAAGGTCAAAAATACCTATCTTTATTATTACATACATCATGGAAATTATTATGTCAATTTAAATACTTATATTTTTAAATTATTTCATAAGATTAGGATAGATCCCATAGTATGATAATAAATTCTATATTTTAAAGGAAATGCATTTGCATGAATTAATTATTTCCATTTATCAAATGTTATCAAATGTCCAATTAAAATTCCTTACATAATCTTTTTTTTTTCATAACTGATGATGAAGATGTTCATTTTGAAATGTATCTTAATTTATTTTCTTTACTTTAAAATTAATTCACATAATTCATAAACATTTTTATCAAATGTAATTTCATTGTTTGCTATTTGCAATGTTTTTATTTCTATTTAGATGTGATTCGCTGCTGAAAAATAGCAAAGATGGAAACAGAGATTGTATATGTACGTCCGATGAGGAGGAAAAACCAACTGTTATGACGCCTGGTAAGTTTCACCCAAAGATATTTAAAAAATATTAAACGCGATTCAAAATGTGTAACAACAAAATTACATAGAATATCAATAAATACAATCTGATTTAAAATCTGCTATGTATGCTAAACTTATTAAAAAAGTTTAAAGAGTAGAAATTTATTTTTTCAATTTTAAGATGATTGAATTACTTAAGTGCTGTGTAAAAGATCCCTGAAGTGCCTTATTGGCTCTTGGCATTTCCGGCGCAATTAAATTCCTAGTGCACTTTAGCATCCAAATAGAGTCCCGGTGCTGCCATCTAGTGTGGCAGAAACTAAACGTCCAAATTAACATGACCAACGGTATCTCACCCATTGTGGTGGTTCTGAAAGAGTGGATACCACCTCTGGAGAACGCACTAGGTCTGCTCATCGGCAAGTCCGAATGTGCAGCTCATTGGAAATAGCAAATTAAAAAAAAACTTAAGTGTTATTGTTACTTAATATGATTATATTAAATGACGGTAATGAATAATGTACTATAGTTTATTCAAAACCAATGCTTTTAACAACTATTTTGCATGGTAATAAGAGAAATAAATTTGATATTCAATATTATCTCAACATCAATTGAGATGAGAGTAAACAAGTAAAAAGAATGGAAAGAGATTCTATTGAGTTAGACTCATTATTTGCAAAATATCATAGTAATTCAAAACCTCTATTATGATATTATGATTTAAGACATTAAAAACAATTCGAACAATGGGATATCAAATATAGAACTATAACAGTAAGAATAACCTAAGCTTTTGTGAAGGAAGATATTGCAAAATTATCGAATATTGAAATGTATATCGAATATTGAATGCAAATATTAAAATGCGACAGAAATAAAAGTCTAAAAGTTATATTCTTCAAAAAACATTAAAATACTTATATATTAGACTAACATAATGTGCCAAAAGACTGTTCTATTACAATACGAATGCCGACCGACCTGTGTAGGGGTTAGGGAACTGCCCTTGCATCAGAAAGGTTCTGGGTTCGAATCCCGGGCAAGGAGGCATGGATGTTCTTTCCTTCTCTGTACTATCTGTCCTTACTGTGGGGGCAACGTTGGCCCACCTAACATGGTACCCCTGAAAGAGTGACCAACAAATCTGCCTTTCAGGTGCCTGTATGACCTAGGTCATTATCGAGGTGGGCATTGGGGAAAAAAATTACAATAAAAATGGTCTGAATTTTCGTATAGCAACGCAGTTATACTAATAATGTAATGGCTAAGAGTAACAGTAAGAATAGTATAATTTCTTACGAAATGATTTAGATCTGATAACAGTTCAATAACTAAGAATAATATTACTTTTTATAAAATAAAATAGTTCGTTTACCAATATAATATTTATATGGAACTGTAACAGTGAGAAACATTTAAATTTTTTAAAGAGGAAGTTCAAATGGCTGTCTAATGATTAGATTGAAATATAACCTTAACAATAGCCAAAAACTTTGAAAACAGCATAGTGCGAATAACAGGAGGAAGAAATAAAAAAAAAAATAAGAATTCGAAAAGTACGATTAAAATTTTATTTTTACGGTTTAATAAATGTGAAAAAAATTATTTATCTTATTTTTATTTTACATTATTTAACATATATTTAACATTAAACATTTATTTAAACACTTTGTTTCGATTTTGTAGAAGTAATAACTATGGCCAGCTTTATAGACAATCAACTCTATAAGCAGAGAGATAAGTCTCCAACGTCCTCATATCCAGGAGATCTTGATAATAACGAACCCCTACGTAGAAGAGACAGTATATTTGTAAGTTCTCACGCAATTTCTTAATTCCTTATTTTAACATAAAAGATTCAAAAAATAAGAAAATTTCATAACTAAGCAAAGCAAAAATATTAACAATGAAGGAAAGTGTGCTCGAGAAAAAAAAATGAGACAAAAAGTAAAGCATTTTAAATTATACAATCTTTAAAAAGCAAAACCATAAACAATTCAACAAGATTTTTCGGAAATAAAATGATAAAAGAAATAGGATTTTCAAAAACTAGAAATTGATTTTCATGCTCTTATCTTAAAAATTAGCATAAATGTGTCGTATAAAGGAAAATATTATCAAATAAAAAAAAACTTTAAACTTTAAATATCTTTATAAATTTTGTAAAATTACCGTTTTATAATACGTAATTTTCACTTGCATGTAATTTGGTGCTTTTACATTTTTATAAAATCAATATTTTCCTATTTGTTTTTTATTTCAAAACCAAAAATTGTGTTATAAATAATCATATATCTAATTTTCACTTTAAATATTTTGCTTGAAATAGAAATGATAACGTGAACATTGAGGAAATATTTTTAGAGATTTACATTTCATTATGATCCTTAATAATAAAAGATTTATAAATTTTTAACAAAACGATATTTTATGACACATATATTGAGAAACTTAAAAATTGCTGATTTAAAAAAAGCTTATTATCAGTCTTTTTTGCAATTTTAGAGATACTCTTTAATAACTATAAATAAATACTCCGAATCAAATCCAAAGCAAAATAAATCTGCAAAATAATCACAAAATTTTTAATCAAAAATTTCTGTTCTTTTCAAACTTAATGTGAATAAATGAAATTATTTAAAAAATGAATAATTTCAATCAATATATTCTGAGTGTTTTCTAATTTCTGTCAAATATGATTAATATAGTCAAATTTGTGTCTTTTAAACAAATACAAAACATCCATGTGTTATATTTTTATTAGTTTACAAAAAAATGCCAATACCAATATATTTTATTAGTTTACAAAAAATGGAAAAACTACTTCATCAAAAAGTAATGTCATTTTCAGGCGCAGGAGAGTACCTTTTAATAAGTATCTTTTAGCAAGGTACTTTTTAGAAGGTGTATCAGGCATGGATCATGGATTGTGTCGTTCAAAGAGGGAAAAGCGAAGCAAAAATCCTTGTGTAATCAAACATATAGTTGGTCTTCTAGACTAATGTAAAAGGATCGGAAATACCAGAAAAGCTGATAAATGTATACCAGTGGTGAGTAGAACATTGTTTTATTTCAAATAAATTATATGACGTATGATAATTAGATGAATTCTCTTTTCCTGGCTTATGATTTACGTTTTTTGCCACACGCTAATACTCTTTAGAATTGATGTATTCTGTATGAATATCCTCTTTCAGCCACCGTCATTCCAATCGGATTCCACTTTTTTCTTATTCTTTGTTTTATCATCATTGTTTTCTTTTAAATTTTTTTTCGCAGAAAAAGTTTTCTCTTCAATTCTGTCTATTATTTAATTTGACAAGAACTTATAATGAATCGTGCTTTGTAATGAGCTCACAAATCTGCATATATATGTGTAACAATAAATAAGCAATGGCATAGTATTTACTTAATATTCCATTTTTTCGCTTTACATGTGCTTTCCGGGCCAAGTGGTCTTGCCTTTATTCTTTCAAGTAAAGAAAGTGGGTTCGAATTTCTCCGTAAACTTGGGTGTGTAACATCAAATAAGCAAATTTGGTTAGGGTACATATACAGGCTCGTGTGCTTAATACAAAGAATGGCTTGTCCTTTCTTTTTTTTTAAATCGGAACAAATTGCACAAAAACAGGAAATATGGCGCAAAAATACTGAACCAGCTACCTCTACACTCCCGAGTGCTTTTTGAAATGACAATACCCCTCAGTAACGGAGGTCTCAAAACGGTTCGCTATTTCATTTCGAATTAATTCTAAAGGTATTCTTCACCATACGGTTTCAGTGTCTCGCTAACCATTCTTAAAGAAACGCTAGATGCATATTCTTTCCATCTTTCTCAATTTTGTGCTCTCTGTTTTTCAAAATGGAATGAGTTTTAATGCTATTCTTTGCATATACAAAGAAATTTACTTATGTACGTGGGAAAGCAAGTTAATTCCACTAGCCTCATAAAAGATGGATAAAACAGACAAAATAATTCCATATATCTGAGTTAAGGATCTTAAAAGCACTTTAACATTTCAAACCAACATTTATGTCCCTTTCTTCCTCGTTATAATTGAGAAATATATTAGAAAAAGAAATAATTAGTTGTCATCTAACTTCTGTCAACCATTTAAATAAACCCTTATTTTAAATAAAGCATAGAAGTGTAAACAGATTATTGCAATTCTATTTGGTAAGAGCCATATGCATTAAAAGGTTAAAATCCTCAAAGAGTGAGATGTTTTAAAGAACATTTTGAAAATTTTATTGTGATACTTTAGAGCATGGCATTAGAATCATTTATTTTGTTTAAATTTACATTTTAGTTTTGTATCCGTTACTAAATGTATGGTAATAAGAACTATAATTTTGAAAACCAGAATTTCCGGATAACGATCGTTACCATAGCGAGTGGTAAATTACCAAATAAATTGTGTAAATAAATTTTTAATCAGTAATATCTTTAACATACAGAATTTTTTACAATCCATCATTTTAGCCATAATTTTTTCTCTGTGCGCATAAGTATATTAAAATGGCAATCCGTTCCTCTTAAAATAGTCTGCTTTAAATTATATGCCAAAAAACAGATTTTTTGTTAAACTTACTTTCAAACTAAATGATGTCATAAATTGAACCAGAAATTATGAAAAAAAATACTACAAAATGTGATTTATTTTAATAAGAAAGAAATTGAAAAGTCGATTAAGTTCATTAATTTAAGGACTTCACATAAAATGCCAAAAAATTAAAACTGAGAGATTGATTATTTACTTTCCATCAATTTCAAATAATACTCTCTAATCTAACTTGAACTTAAAATAAACTGCATTAACATCCAAATATGTGAAAAGTGCTGTCATAGATAAATCATAAAGTATATAATCCTGTGCAAAAAATATATAAAGAGGAAAAGGAATATAAAAAGAGAAAAATGAATACATAAAAAGAAAAATGAATATATAAAAAGGAAAATGAATGTATAAAAAAGGAAATTCTTTTAAAATGCATTTTCTGAAACTTCCCATTAAAAGTTGCTGGTAATTACTGAGTAAGAAATAAACATTAAGCACTCACTAGAATTGTCAAGTTACTCAAATACTTACTCCTTAAAAAATTACTTTTGGTGAAGTTTTATCTTGTGTTATATTGACTTTTATAACAATGATCTTTGTGATTTTAACCTGTTTTTTCGGTTCTTCATTGAGCAAGAATGAGTTGAAGAAAAATGTGTTTTTTTTCTAAAATAAAATAAAGTAGTCTGATTTTTTGGATTATTTTACCAAATAAATCACGTTTATCTATGTTTGCTATAAACTAAATTTATGCTTGATCAGCTTCTATTTTTCTCACTAAAAAAAGTATGGTCAAACTCACTGGAATATTTTAAAATGTATCGTGTTTCAGGCCTTTTGGTTACACCCAAAAGCTCGGTAAGAACAATGAAATGCAATTTTGTAATATGTGGTAAAAATCTGGAAAATTTCGAAAACTTTTTTATTTTTATTATGATATTTTTCAACAGAGGGGTAAATAGCTGCACTGTTGGAGTTCTAGCTGTCTTTCTTAGTCTGAAGTCCTTGCCATTCGGGCGCACCTTTCAATTTTGGTCCATAGCCTACCACTACATAAAATAAACTGACCTTGTTACTACATTTACCGTCCAATTTTGTACCAAGTTTATAAAAATAATAAGATTAGTGAGTTTATGTTCCTTCTACTAGAAATGTCGTTAATACACAACACACACAATACGGTTACTTTACTCAAACTTTTTTTCTCCTTGAAAAAACAAGGTTTATTTCTCAGATCATAAACACTTTATATGAGTTCTGTACTATAAATTAGACTGCTATTTCCATCCTTCTATTAAATGATTTTTGTTGCTGACGTATGCCTGTTTAGGCAGAGGGTGTGCGATTGTTCTTGTTTTCCAGTGGCGCCATCTATGCCCAAGAATTAGACTTCCGCCACACCATACATCGCACCCGTTTATAGGGCGGAACCATTCATATGTCCGTTCATTCATCCACAGATCGTAATTTTGACCTGAATCAGAGAACAATCGATCTCCAATCCAGTACCCCCAGAGATAATGATTTCTTATGGGAACATGGAGGACTTTTGTGACTCGACAGATTTAACGTGCATCAGTCACTTTACTGCACGGGGAGTCTTTGGCTGGCGGGGTTCGAACTCACGAACTCTCGGAGATGCCCCCTGCGCCCTACCGACCAGGCTATCCCGGCCAATGATTTTTGTGTGTGCCAAGTATAAATTTTAATTTTTTCCCTACATTTATAGCGTGAAAAATTCAATAACGTAAACTATTGCAATCAAAGAAATTATTTTATTTTTTTACATCTATTAGACATCTATTTTACAAATGAATCACATTTATTATACTCGTTTAGTTTGCAAACTTTAAAATAGTTAATAATTTAAACTAAGCTGTCCGGACAAGACAGGAAAAATAATCGCACCAAGGGAAATAAAAAAAACCCCTACATCTGCGTTTCTGAACGTGATAACTGATTCAGTTAATGAAGGATTTCCCACGGTGTTTTAGATAAATCTCAACCAGTTAAAGTCACTTGCTGAAGAATATTCAGAATCCGTAAAATTACAGGGGTGCAGATATTGGTGGTTCGCGAGCGGTTCCAACACGTATTAAATTATCAATTTGTTTCAGGTTAGGTGACTTCGGAGGTCAATCGAGATGAAATGGGGAGAATCTTTGTTAATAATTCCAATCACTTGTCCTTTAATATTTTCAAGTCGAAACGTAAGATTATTAAAATCATAATCATAAAGATGTTTACTGAGAAGAAAAACAATTAAAAACATTGAAAGAAAAAGGCTGATCCACGTCATTTGTCAGATCAGAGATTAGGATCAATCAACAATAATAATTATAATAATAAAAGATCACCAAAACATCATATATCCACTTCCAAATGCATGATATATTAACTACTTTTTACCCGGTAAGCTTACATAATAACATTACTTAGAAATTTGAAATGTGGTAAAGCCCTCATTTTGTCATTTCAGCTATCTACTCTTGACGCAAATCTGCTATCAGTCATTTGTTTCTAGACGAAGTCGATTACAGAAAATTAATCAATTACAGAAAATTATCTCATAAAATTATTATATTACGAGACGTCAGGAAAATAACAGAGGTGAGACAATTTTTAATAACAATCTTAAAGCTATTCTGTGAATATTTGTATTATTATTATTATCATTATTATATTTGTAATTTTAGGTTTTATTTCAATGGTGCTGTGCCATTTTTACTCTGTATGAACTATATATATATATATATATGTTTCTCTTAAGTAAAAAATAAATTCCTAAATTCTATAAAGAAAAGCAACAAGTTTTAATTATTGCGCATAAGCTGCAAGTAAATAGAACTCATAAAATAAGTTCAAAATGTAGAGAAAACAAGGGAAAATTACAGAACAATGAAAAAAGGGGAAGAAAAGAAAAGTAATAATAAAAATGAAAATAACAAGAAACAGGAAAAAAAAGGACACGAAATTTTAAAAAATCAGGAAAATAAAAGATATAACCTTTTTATCAACTCACTTTTTCGTCAGTTCATCCTCTCTTTTTTGCTGATATAATCATGTGAGCTAATGAAAAGATTATATCTTTTATTTTCCGGATTTTTTAAAATTTTTTGTTCTTTTTTCATTGTTCAGTATTTTTCCCTTGTTTTCTCTACATTTTGAATATATATATATATATATACTTGATACATTGATTTTCGTGCAAATAAGTGAGCCTATATGTAAAGTATAACACTTTAAAAATATACTCTACTCACAATTAAGTACATAAATGAAATTCTCTGCTGTAAAAATAAAAATACAATTATATAAAAAACATTATTGTTTTCAAATAAAGTTTTAACTAATGAGCATTGTTATTAATGTATAATCAAGATACAAGTAAGTTGATTTTAAATATTAAAAAAAAATATTGGTACTTAAATTATAATTGGATGAAAACAAAAGTGCTCATATATTTAATTACAGTGATAAAGTAATACAAAATAATAACAATAACAAAATAATAACAATAACAAAATAATAACAATAACAAAATAATAAAAATTACTAAATAATGCTATATAATTCGAAAATCCGTTCACGTAATTCATTTGACTCGAAACACTCAGCATGTGAAACCTTAATATACTCTTTTTACAATCTATCTAGAGCAAAAATATATTTGAAATTTTTTACATTGTTTTACACTTTAAAAAAATCAAATACTGAAGCGAAAACGTAGGTTTTCACTACTGATAAATAATGCAAAATGCAGTAAATTTTTACTTTTTAGAGTCCAACAACAAGTTTTTGTTTCACACCTGAAAGTGGAAGACGCCGAATAGAAATATTGATCCAAAAGTGTTTCAACATTTCATCTAGAATTCAGGTAAGTTCATTTCAGATTTAAGTAAACATGCATTTCTAATCTGCGCTTAGTTAGAAAATATTAAATAACTATAATGGAATAATAACAACAGATTAATATACAATAAAACAAAAATGAGAAGTTTCTAGTTTTTAACTTTATGAACATAATTTAACTTTATTAGGAAACAAATTTCAGTGTAATGAAAAGATTTAATTGTTTACAGTGTTTTAAAGTTTTTTTCCCATGATTTAATTAAATAAAGATTTTAAAAATAAACTCAAAACAATATATCTACACAATTACCAATTATATATTAACAATTATTTAAACTTTTAGTACATTACTAGTTTTCTCTTAGTTTCTCTTAGTTTCCAAATAGAAAATAATTTTGTACTCTTCTTATCACAAATAAGTAAATATATTATTCAAAATCTATTCCAGTATATACTGAGAAGTTTCTTTTTCAATATCTATTCGATTTTTGTTTCATAATGATCATCTAAATCGTATTAATTTAAAGGCTAATCCATATTTACTAGAGAATCTTGTGGAACAAAAAATGTCCCATACCGTAATTTTTTCATTAATAATTACCCTAGAATCACTGATTCCCTTTATCTAAATAAAATAACTCTAAAATTGACGGTATAATATTTCACAGTTAAAACGAATTTTATGGTAAAAATGGATTTTACGGCTTATGAACCAATATGCAGTCCTTTTATTCCATAATTTGATCTGGAAATTTCTTCATAGCAGCTAATTGTGTATATCAACGATCAAAGTATAATTTATGAGTTATAGCAACCCTTTATAGTGTTAGTTGCCACAATATTTATAAGTAATAAAATTGATAACTCATATGTAATGTTCTGAATAATATATACAAAATGTAGTTTTATTACATACTACAGTTTTCTGAATAATTAAGCACTTTAAAAAAAGTCTTGATTCCTCTTACTGACGGAGCGAAAAGGAGTGTTTATGCCTATGAAAGCTGATTTGGAGCAAAAATTTTTTTGTAAGGCAACAAGAAGAGCTTTTTCCACAATATGGCTCATTTTCACACTGAAATAACTCTCGTTGAGAATCAACTTTTCACATTAATAATTTAAAAAGCCTAGTAAACCTCAAAATGCAATAAACATTGATCCGATTGCAATGTTTGCGAAAAATGGACAAAAATGGAACAGTTTTTCTCCTTCAGTCTTCCACTGTACTTTCAAGTATTATTCCTAATTGTTCGAGAAGCATCTTGAAATGGGTGAAGACATCATAGATATGAGAAGTCACTAGCACAGATAATATTTTAAACTACGAAATTAAAAACAAAACCTTAATTTCTCTGAAAGAAGCATTGAAATTCTAATACTCAATAATGGCGGAGGAGTAATTGCCTGCTAACTTATTCTTCTAATAATTTTGGAGAGTAGATTAAACTTTTAAATGTAATTTTTAAGATATGGTTGGATATGCTGCATCCCGCCAACCATTATTTTATTCCTTATTTCTATGTCAAAATGTGTTAACAGATTTTATCAACATGGATGTTATAAATGTATTTTCAAAGAAATATCTTAATTAATGGTACAGTTTGTTTAACAATAGGGTAAAAAGGCAGAACAAGCCAACAATAAATGAAAAGAGACAACTTTTCTTCTCCTCCGCAACAAAAGTAGTGGTTAGTAGGAGAGTAGGGTTGAAATCCGCTTCAAGACTCTTCGTTGCTTTGCCCCTAAACGTTGTTGTTGTTGGCCATTGAGTTCGTTAGTTAAATATCACTTGCATTGATTGGCACGTTTAATATGTATTGCTTAAATCTTAGCATGAAAAATATGATCATTAGATTAAAAAAAAGTTATTTAGATTATATGCTATTTCATTACTCACGCATACATAAAGTGAATGACTATTTTTCAGGCATTCGAGAAATTAAAAGCAATTCCAGAGAAGAAAATGCTGTGCGACATGCCTATAACGAACAACAAAATTATTTCCAAGAAAATGAAATCCAAAACTCATGAAAATCTTCTAATTCCGTAGTTCTGTATCAGGAGTTTTCATTTTTTTCCTAATTTTGTTTCTCGAAATTGTTATTTTAATTTATTTACACTAAGAGCTTGCATGAGACATGGAGATTTTATGTTGATCTTTTGATTGAACTCTTTAATGTATAAAATATACTGCTCAGCTAATAATGGAAATGAAAGAGCACGATCAACTGCACATAAATGGTTCAAAATATACACCAAAATTCACAAAGTGCCTTCTTTGAAGAAGATCGATCAAAACAGAAATATCATCAACTTTAAGACTGTGCCAATTCATTGGAGTGTTATAATCATAACTATTTGTGGAAATCTATTTTTGTATTTTCTGATAAAAAAAATGTATTTAAACTTGTGTTTGCATAATTTTTGAAAGAAAGATAATAAATAAATGATGGTGTTTCATCGTTGTTTTTTTTTTACTTAAGCTTCTTGCAAATTTAAATGTTTAATTTAAATAGATGAAAATGTAAGAGTTGAATTAGCACAATCAGGATTTTGCTCAATCAATATTTTTCATTTCGTCAAGAGTTCAAACAAAATAATTTTTACTGCACTGTCAGTATTTCAACAATTATGAAAGCAGAATTTTAGCATCCATGGTGATTTTAACTTTTTAGTCGCAAATATTAAATAAACAACACATTATCATACACTTGTATCCTAAAACGCTTTTAATAATCCTAATTGTAAAACGTAATTTTGTAATACGTTTGTAATTCACGTAATTTTGAAAGTTAATCATTATAAAAATTGAGAGATAGATAATGATCTTTATGTTATTACATAAATAAAACTTCATATTTATATGCATTAAAGGAATATTTTTTCGAGTAAATATTTATTGCTGATCTATATCCAGAGAAGCAAGAAAAAAATATACAAGGCGTTATAATAATAAATAATGATATTTTATAGACAATGATATTTAATGACATTAGAGAGATTTTACAGTTAGTTAAACTTTTTTTTGATTTCATATTTTTATTTCATTTTTGATAATAGTTCTATATTTTAAATTGTTGTTACACTAACAGGTATTGTTAAAAAAATTCTTATTCCAGAAATGATATTTAAAAGAAGGAAAAAAATGGCATGTAAAAAACTTTTAATTAAAAAAAAATCATTTGAGACAAAAAAATAATAATTATTTTGTCACTTATACTTTCTACGGAATTCCATGAAACTTTGGAGTGAAATTCTTTTTAATAATGTTTTATAAATTATAAGCTCATAGATAAATTGCAACTTAATTAGATTGATATTGAAATGAAACTTAAAGAGATAAATAACTATTGCCATAACTTCGAAAACTAGAAAATATTGCTTAACAGTAAATATTAGTTTATATTATTTCCAATAATAATAGACTAAAATTATATTTAAGTTTTTTATCTAATGATTGCAGCTAATAATCGATTGACATTGTTTTGAGTTAAATTCACAAAAGTTTATATGTATGTATAGCATAATTTTTTGATCAATGTTAAATCCCTCTGGCTAGTTTTTTTAAAAAATATTAGCAAATATTTAATAAATTCTAAAAAATTTTGAAATATTCTAGTGATGTCTCTTAATTACTAATCTTGGCAAAACAAATTTTTTCTTCACTTATTGAGAAAACTAAAATTGCGAAGCCCAAATATAAAGAAAAATTCATAAAATAAAAATTCACTGACCTCTAATGCATTAATAATTTATATGCATTATTGATTTACTATTAATTTCCCGCAATGGTACCATTTCAGTAATTTATTAAGTCAGAGTTAGATTTAATAGATATGTGATATATTTTTTTTGATACCTCATTTTCAAAGATTTATCCTGAAACAGCTAATTTCTTTGTTTTGTTCTAATTATTTTAAAACAGATAAATCCTGTGATACATTCTTAATACTTCGGTTCCTCCAAACAAAAGAAAGAAAGCTGCAGTCATAAATATCCTTGAACTGTGAAAAGAAACTTGTATGTGAAGGATAAGGTTTTCTTCTGTTGTTGTTGTTTTTAATACCACTTGCCAATACCAGCAAAAAGATAAGGGAAGTCCTGGATCAAACACCGGGCGGGAACTGGGCTCTTGCGTTAAATGGACAGGAAAGCCATGAAAATATCTCACACTTAACCAGACAGCAAGGGGATTCTAACTCATTATTCGTCTTCCACTGAGGATATTATACGTAAGCACTGTCATCGGTGTGAACCGGAAGTAAAATTTGTATTAACCAGCCACCCCTGGGATTCAAAGCTGGTTCACCTCATTGGGAGGGTAAAGCTCTATCCCCAAATCGACAGCAACTCAAACGGTATTACTTAATAATAATGGATTCCTGAGAGCAAAATTAGATTCACTTATTGCCTTGACAATATGCAATAAATACTTTTGATGATTCCTCATGCCAATGTTTGAAAATTCCTCATGACAATTTAAGAAATTTATAATGCCAATTTTTGAAACTTCCAATGTCCAATGTGAAACTTCCAATGTTGTATTTCCAGTTTTTTCAACTCTTCAAGGTAAATGACAGGTCTTACAGTCATTTAAGGCTTTTCCAATGATTCAATTAAACCTATCTGGGCCTGTAGTTTGACCATCCATATATTAAAAATGTAAGCGAGACAAATGAACCCTTTTATAAGGGTTTTGAAACATTCTGCAAACAGTCTTTATAGCTGTACCATCACAGACAATAGAAACTTATTGCTATTGACAACTAACGCTCAAAAGGTAGCCTTGCGGTAGGGCAATAAATGCAGAATTGTGGCGCAGGATAAATATTTTAATGCGAGGAGGTCAGACAACAATCACTGATGATGACCAGAGAAATAGAAAAGGATGGGAGATGATACGATTGCTAAAATGCTGTTATAAGACCCTGTGAGCAGACATTAAATAATGGGTGAAGAGACCACTTGTTATCCCAATTATATCGGATAAGAAACTGACTCTCAAAGTCAATACGTTGTTGATACATTGTTAACCTCGCGACCAAAATCTGGCCGCTCTGATATCGGTATTGAAATATGAGCAGAACAGAGCGTATTAGTACTGGAACTGTTTATTTTGATATATTAAATACAAGAGCGGTTTTCAGTTTGTCTTTGTTCTGAAGTCATTATTTAATGCATTTCAATAGCAGCGCTGTGAGGAATAGTTGACCGTTCGGATCATTGCCTATCACAGGCACTGAGACAGCCAGTTTCTTCGAATTTATCAAGATATCAAGCAGAGCTTTCGGGAAACACGAGTCACATATTTACGCATATTTTCGACGGTAATCATGTATAGTTTTCATAGCATTCTTCCCAATTTGATAAAAGAGTTTTACTAATTTACCCCAAATTTTCTTCGCCAAAATCATTTCGTCGGCATGTGCTAGCAAGGTCCCAAATAAAGAACCCTACTTTTTATAAGTCTTCTACATTCAATGTTTGGCAAACGTTATTCAGTGGTTATTGTCTTGACTCTGCATGTGCGAATATCCTTCGTGAGCCATTTTTTAGCCGCGTCAAGAGTTGCTTTTTTTTCTCTTTTTGCATTGAGCATAGCACGTCCCTTTTTTTGTTTTGTTTTGATAAGCGCACCATTTTAACGCTGTTTAGGGTCTTTACAAACGCTGAACATTTTGCGACGAAAACAATTGATGTTTCCTTTCGAAAATGTCGAGTTTCCGAGCCTACCATATCTGATATATTTCATCTCAGCTGGTTAAATGATCCGGCCACTATATCGGTAACTAATCACTAATCCGTAAAAAGGCCATTTTTTTTCTTTTGTAACTAACTTGTATAAAACTTGTAGTCACTTTTTTCTAGAAAAAAGTTTAATTACCCGGTCTTATTCTACTAGCTGGGTAAGCTAGGGTGTACATGCTAAGTCTATGGGGAATTCAGAAATACTAGAATTTTAGTGAAAATGTACCAGTCACTTCTGCAATTTAAAAATATTATACATGTAATTTACACTTGATGTAGCTTTCATATTCTTCCACCACACTGCAGCTTTCATAGGCTTAGCATTCGCATCAAGGAGTGGGCCAGGTCGTACAGGTTCTTACCCTAAAAGCAGAGATTATTAAACTAAACTATTACAGGAGCTAATTGAACGAAAGCAAATCACTATTGTACTAAATTTTTATTGTTCCATGAATCTTTAATATACGTATATTAAGTAGGATTAAAAATAATTTTTGTAATTGTAATGACCAAAAAATGTGAATAGTTTTAATATAAAGGAACATTATAGAGTTGGAATAGTAAAACAAACTTATATACACAGTCGCCGAGAATTAAACAACAATGAACAAATACAGTAGGTCCTTTTTTTTTACTTGTAAAATTTAATTCAGTGTTTGTCCGCTAGAAAACAAAATTAATTTTGACACAATCACTCAGCTTTACTGCACTGCATCATCTTATTCAACATTCCCCCATTATTTGCGTAGGAAACGTTTGATTAAGATTACATTACATTAAAAACGTAAATTCTGCATCCCTTAGATATAAATCATGCGATATGGTACGATTCAGAAGTCTTATGACACTTTTGAATAATTCTACAAAGTGATACACTGTTTAACATTTGATAACTTTTGTTACATTTAAAAATATCTAATAAATATAATAATAAAACTTTTCAATTATAACCTGTTTTCCATATTAAACTATTATCGAAACAACTCCATTTCAGTTTACTTTCACTTCCAATAAATACTTACAGTATTCCTTGCAGCTACCTTCCCTATATGGACTAAACAATCTGGATTGAAAAAAAAGAAGTCATTGCCAGATAGAAATGTTAGTTTTAGCCTTTGATTTCGTGATTTAATTAATGCGTAGCTTTATTTAATTAGCATAGGTTACAAATGTGCCTTCAGAATCAGGATCATTCGAGATTATTTCGGGGAAATTAGATCTTTAATTAAAGAAAGTAACTGAAAAAAGGATTCATTATCTGCGAAAAAATTGAAGATAACTTTGTAGGAAAGAATCTAACTTATAACTTAGTTGCAATAATCTTACATACTTAATTGAGTGCATTACTTTAAGTCAAAATAAATAATTCGCAAATAAGCAACACAATATATAAAACGTAATTAAAAAAATATATAATATAAAATCTTGTCTAAAAATCTACTGAATGTAAGACTTTTCTTAAGTTCAAGGTGCTCTGTGAAGGCTGCTCTGAATGTAGAATCCTTATCAAAAATGAAAACGTAAAGGTATGTGCGAATAAGGGGACGCAAATCAATATTTAAGAAAGGAAAAAAAGGCATACGGAATCTGAAAAATTGTAATAAAAGCAATTGTAATAAATATCAAAACAGGAGCCGTGGTATACCTGGGGTCTAGTGCTCCCCTCTCAAAGAGGTGACCTAGGAACGAATCCCT